TGGGAGACTCGAAGTAGCCCCTGGCTCCTGGCTTCAGATGGGTGCAGCTCTGGCCATTGCAGCCAATTGGGGAGTGAACCAGAGGATGGGAGACCTCTCTCTTTCTCTGCCTCTCTTTCTCTCTCTGTGTAACTCTGATGTTCAAATAAATAAATAAATAAAAATAAATAAATAAACAAATCTTTAAAAAAGTATATGGGTTGATGCATATTCGTTACATGCATATATGCATTTTACACAAACATTTTGAATATTCTGGATTTTAGTTTCTGCAGGGTCCTAGAAGAAATCCCCTAAGGATACTGAGGAATGACTTTACAAATCACATTGCGTGTCAATTGTGATAAAAGCTGTAAAGGAAATAAATGTGTTTCAATGAAGGATTTGATGGAGATGGTAACAGTGTGGAAAGTCAAGTATGAACTTTCTGAGAAAGAAGACTTTAGGATAGACCTAAGGGTATTTGAAAATAGACAGCAATCAAGGGTTTTCAGATGGAAGCTGGAGCTGGTACAAGTGGCCTAAAGTCTAGGTGTGCTTGGTTTTCTGCAGGAATAGTGGGAAGACCACTGAGGTCAGAGCTGGAAGGGCTAGTAGCACCTGACCATGTGGCCTTGTTGGCCACTCTAGAGTTTGCTCCGTTATCTTTAAAAATGGATGGCTTAAGCAGAGGGGATATTTTAATATTTCTTTTAGAATGTCTTGGATTTGGGTAGAAACACCTGGAGATTTAGGAATGGAATAAAAAAGAAAACAAACATGAGGAGATGAATGGAATTTTATTACAATTGCAAGAGGATTGTGTTAACTTCAGGGAAGGGCAGAACAAGAGGAGTCAAGAAACAAATCCCATCTCTCAAGCAGGCCTCTATCAATCAGCATCACAACACTGGGTTCCAATTATCAGGCAGTAGCAGGTCCCCTAGAGTCTGGGGATCTTCCCTTACCAGTCTTTCTAAGTGTTCCTGCTTGCTAATCACCTCTCTGGGCTCTGGACCTACCTTGGGAATACTGAGAAATGTGCCACAGAGGAGGCCATTAGCAAGAAATGCAAACAGTAAGGAATACAGGGGTTGGAAACTTCAGAAAGTAGAAATGCATTCATAGAGGGGAGATCCTGATTAATGATGACAGGACCTGGGGGGAGGGCAGCCAGTGCCAGTGGGCAGAGATAGGGGTTGTTTCTACTTCTGCATTGCGGAGGGGCAGTACTCCTAATCCCTGGCTGAATGTACACTGATTTCTTGGAATTCATCATGACTTTACCTCGCCAGTTGAGTTAATGTCACTTCTGTTTTTGGCTTTTCTAGGGAAAGGAAATGTGAACTTTTTTTTCTCCTTTGGAGGGAAATTAGGCATGTGAGGTAGCCAATTTGAGTCTCCATTTTACATCACCAAAAAATTGAGTAATCATGATCAATAATATTTAATGTAATATTTTTCATTCAAAATAATTTATTTATTTTTGAAGTATATATATCTATGGAGTCCATGGAGATAACTTGATACTTGTAGAATCAAAATTAATTTTTAAAATTCATAATTAACCAAAAACCCAACACTTTAAATAAATAAGGAAGGCAAGGTTGTGCTTTCAGTACCCTGTGTCACTTGCCTTCCCCTGTCAACCTCTTGGGGTTCAGAGTATGCCACTTACCCTATGTTGATAGGTGCACTAAAGTTTACCTTCTCTGCTTGTTGCAGCTTTGCAAAACAACTCATACTAAGTCAAGTAAATGAATGAAAATAAGGTTTAGTTTCAGAATGCAATGAGAGTGATGATTCTAAAGAGGAAGTAGTTTGTCTTTCTGTGATGATCCTAGGGAACGTTGTGACTATACCTGTCGATAAGCCAGAAGCTACCTCTGCCATCAGCTCTTTACAGTTTGTGCAGAGTGATTCTTGCCTGTTTGCCAGAACCTTCCCATTTGTCTCAAGAGCTATGATCAGCTACAGAGCATGGGCTATACCCTAGGCCTTGTGCTTGTCACTTTAACATTCCTTCACCCATGATATCTCTGGAGAGGGGATGTTTACCTTCTTGGGTCCCTTTAAATTTTGTAAGGGAGGCAAAGATTCCCATAAATATTACTAGTAAATACCCTAAAACTTCTAGTATAACCAGAGAGCTGGCTTTAAAAGGGAGCCAAGATATTTATAGAGCAAATAATTTAAGTTGAGCATCCCTAATATGAATATCCAAAATATGGAATACTTTCAAATCCAAGCATTTTGAATTTTGACATGATTCCACAAGTGAAAAACTCCATACTTGACCTCATATGACAGATTTCAGTCAAAACAGAAACCCACAAAAATATTAAAATATAGGTTTATATATTTGAGTGTCAGAGTCACAGAGATTGGGAGAGACAGAGAGTGGTTTTCATCTGCTGGTTTCCTTCCCAAATGGTCACCAATGGCCAGAGCTGGATCGATCTGACACCAAGAGCCAGGAGCTTTTTCTGGGTCTCCAACGTGGGTTCAGGGGCCCAAGCACTTGGGCCATCTTCCACTGTTTTCTCAGGCTGTTAGCAGAAGGCTGGATTGGAAGTGGAGTATCCAGGATATGATCAGGTGCCTACGTGGGATTCTGGCACCTCAGGCAGAGGCTTAACCTACTATGACACGGTGTCAGCCCCACAAAAATATTTTTAAAAAATAGCCTTCAGGCTATATATATAAGATGTATATGAAACAAAAATTGAGTTTGGCTTTAGAATTGGGCCCCATTCCTAGGATACCTTACTATGTATAATAATCAGGATGTCCCAAATCCTGAAAAAAATCTAAAATCCAAAACACTTTTTTCCCCCAAGAATTTCAGATAATTGTTACTCAACCTGTACTTAATGCCTTCCCACAATAATAGTTCTATTTAAAACAGTTATCAGTTTGACCAAACTCATAAGGTGTCTTGCTAATTAATACTCTCACACTGTTTTTAATCCAATGAGAACAGTGTACTTATGGTCCTGGTCTTCCTTCATTTGCAACAGACTGACCTCCCCTCCTATAGCCTTCTGAGAAATATTCTTATTGACAGTTCCAAATTAAAGAATAGGTTTAATTATGAGTTTTCCACTTTAGGGGCTAAATGTTTAGCTAACTAATTTAGTATCTTTTTGATCAGTTTCCTCATATTCAAAATGGAATTAATAAATCTGCAGAGCTTACTTGTGAAGTAAAATAATTTGTGTGTGTTAAAATTAGTTTGCCAAACTTATTCTAAACAAAATTTTGTGTAGTAAATATAGAAAATTCCTGAATATCACCTCTTCAGAAATCACTAGGACAAGATAAGATCACAGAGCAATTATGTGAAAGTTTTATTTCCAAAACTCTGTGTTTAGAGGAAAAAATTAATTTTCCAATCTTCATGATAAAGGGTTATTGACAAAGCTTATCTTGAACTTATTATTAACACTGATGCAAAAAAATTTGAATACAATGATGGTTTAGGTAAGTAAATGTAGTAGGAAGTCAGTTGTATTGACTGTACTACTGCACTCAACTCAGGAGATCTAACCAATATAGAGTTTAATTACAGTCATTGAGCTTTAGTTTATTGTAGGAAGATCTATAACAAATTAAATTGTAAATTAAATAGCTTTTACAATTCATCTCTGTATTTTCCATAATGCCACCAGATCATGTTTGACTGGAGTTTCTTCACCTATTTTGATTCTGAGGGCTGCTAGATTTATGAATACTTTTTGCATTATTTTGTTTTTAATTGCTTAAATAATTCTATACTTTGAAAACATGTGTGTTGAGCAACTTAATACCTGTGATTAGTCTTCAGAGAATTGTAAACAAAACCATATTAAGGTAGCACCAAGAGAGACCAGCACTGTGACATAAGCAGGTAAAACCACCACTTGTGGCATAGGCATCCATGTGGGCACTGGCTCGAGTTCTAGCTGCTCCACTTCCAATCTAGCTCCCTGCTAAAGCACCTGAGAAAGCAGCTGAAGGTATACCAAGTTCTTGGGCCTCTGCAACTATATGGGAGATCCAGAAGCAGCTCTTTGCTCCTGGCTTCAGACCAGTCTAGCTTCATCCATTGTAGCTATTTGGGGAGTGAACCAGCATTTGGAAGATATCTCTTTCCCTCTTTGCTTCTTTCTCTCTCTCTAACTTCACTTTTGAAATAAATAAATATTTTTTAAAAATATAGCATGGAGAAGACAAAGTCAATTAAAAATGAAGTATTGATAAAGATGTGAAGAAATCAGAATAATCACACACTGTCAATTCAAAATGGAATATAAAATGGGGCAGTCATTTTGAAAAATACTCTGGAAGCTTGTTAAATGATTAAAAATAGAGTTAACATGTGATCAACCAATTCCATTCCTTTGTATATAGTAAAATAATTGAAGACTTGTCCACACAAAAACTGACACATTTTTGTTTATAACATCATTATTCATGAAAATAAAAAGTTCGAGATAATCAAAATGGCTATCAATGAAAAATGTATAAAAAGTAGTTGATCCATTATATTGAATATTACTTAACTCCCAAAAAGAATGAAGCATTGATATATGCTGCACAAAGGAATAACCTTGAAAAGCTATGCTGAGTGACAGCAGCCAGATATGAAGGACCATAAATTGTGTTCCATTCATATGAAGTGTTCATAATAGGCAAATCCATAAAGATAAAAATGGCAATGATAGCTGAAGTGCATAGAGTTTATTTTTAAGGTTACTACCTTAAAAGATATGATTAAATATATCTTTCAATGGGTGAAATATATTGTATGATAATTATACCTCAATAAATATGTCAAGACAAAGACAATATCTATCTGATAGTAAAGAGTTAAAAAATGGGAACTATTACTGGTTTAACTGTTAAAAATGAATGAAGGAGGGAGGCAGGAAAAAAGGGGGTTAAACAAAGAAATAAATGGATACTGAAAGAGAATGGGATAAAGGAGGGAGTGGGGGAGGGATGATGGGAGAGAAACAAGAAGAGTGATAAGAAGGAAAGACTCCCCATTCACCACCTTCCCAGGCAGAAAATGAGCAACATTAGGAGTTCTGGAGAAAGAGTTTGTTGAAGAAGCTCTTCTTCATGGCAATCTTCAGATCCTTGTTCCTAAGGCTGAAGATGATGGGGCTGAGGAACGGAGTGAGGATTGTGTAGGTTATGCCCATCAGGGAATCTCCTTCCAGAGACTGAAGACCACTGGGCTTGAGGTATATGACAGAGGCAAAGCCATAATGCACAACTACTACAGTAAGGTGGGATGCACAGGTGGAGAAAGCTTTGTGCCGCCCCTCAACTGAAGGTATCTTCAAGACAGTAGCCACAATGAATGCATAGGATAGAAGGATGAGGAAACAGCATCCCAGTAGAGCTGTGATGCACACCAGGCCCATGACTTTAGCAACCACCTGTACCTGACGTCCACAGGCCAACTTCAATAAAGGTGGCACGTGGCAAAAGAAATGGTGGATCACATTGGGTCCACAGAAGTTCAGGTGGAAAACAGACAGTGTCACCACCATCCCAATGACCGAGCCACCAGCCCAGGACCAGGCCACCAGACAGGCACAGCCATAGGGGCTCATGAGCACATTGTAGCGCAGGGGGTGACAGATGGCCACATAGCGGTCATAGCCCATGACAGTGAGCAGGAAGGAGTGGGTGAAACCAAACATGAAGGAGAAGAACATCTGACTGGCGCAAGCCACAAAGGTGATGGAGCTGTGGGTGAAGAGCAGATCAGCCAGCATGCGTGGGATGATGGCAAAGGTGTAGAAGATCTCAGAGATGGAAAGGGCACAGAGGAAGAGGTACATTGGTGTGTGTAGGCTGTGCTCACTCCAGATGGTGGCCATGATGAACAGGTTCCCCAGCAGTGTGAACAGATACATAAGCAGGAACAGTGGGAAGAAAATCAGCTGGAGGTTGGGGAAAGAGGAGAAGCCCATGAGGATGAATTCAGACATGGAGGTGTGGTTTAGCACCATAATGTCAGTCACACCTAGTTGGGGAAAGAAGAAGAAGATCCAATGGTTAAGAGCTCAGGCTTTTTATTGAGTTCTTTTTAAAATTAAGAATACATGTGTATTTTATTTTTCTATACTTTTAAATATTCATATAAAAGGAACAAATTTCATGTATTTCATATATACAATTTTAGGAACATAATAATACTTTTTTTTAAAGATTTATTTTATTTATTTGAAAGAGTTACAGAGAAAGGTAGAGGCAGAGAGAGAGGTCTTCCATCTGCTGGTTCACTCCCCAGATGGCTGCAATGGCCGGAGTTGCGCTAATCAGAAGCTAGGAGCCAGGAGCCTCTTCTGGGTTGCCCATGTGAGTTCAGGGGCCTAAGGACTTGGGCCATCTTCTGCTGCTATCCCAGGCCATAGCAGAGAGCTGGATTGGAAGAGGAGCAGCTAGGACTAGAATGGGCGCCCATATGGGATGCTGGTGCTTCAGACCAGGGCAATAACCTGTTGTGCCACAGTGCAGGCCCCCATAATGATACTTTCTACCTCCCTATCCCTCTCACTTACATCTTCCCTTCTCTTTCTAATTTTTCTTTTAATTTTTCTGATGACATACTTTCAATTTACCTTATAACCACAAGCTTAACTCTCCACTAAATAAATAATTCAACAAATAGTAAGTAGAAAATCCACTGCTCCTCAAGAGTTTAGACAAGGACTTTAATCAATAATCAAATCTCAATATGTCAATTTTCCTCATATACTTTACATTTTTTGGTATTCTTTTAATTAGTTACCCCACATCAGGGAAAACATGGTATTTGTCTTTTTTGGTATTGGTTTATTTTACTAATCATAATGGTCCCCGGTTGCATCCATTTTGCTGCAAAAGATAGGATTGCAGTCATTTTTATGGATGAATAGTATTCCATTGCATATATGTACCACAGTTTTTTTATCTACTCCTTTACCTGTTCAAGGCATGGTTAGTTCATCTGTAAAAGGGCATTAACACAGCTGTCCCTCAGTGTCCACAGAGGTTTAGTTCCAGGATCCCTGAAGATACCAAGACCTGTGGATACTCAAATACTCTATATATTATTCTGTAGTCAGGATTGATATTCAATGCAGCTGTTAAGACATCTCTTGGGATGCCTGAAGCCCATATTTGAGTGTCTGGGTTTGAAGTCTCAGCTCTATTTTGATTCAAGCTCTCTGATAATGCATACCCTGGGAGACAGAACACTCAAGTACATGTGTCCCTTTAGCCTATGTTGGATATCTGAATTGAGTTCCTGTCTCCAAGCTTCCACCTGTCCCAGAACTAGCTATTATGTGCTTTTAGGGGGGATCTCTCTCTCTCTCTCTGTCTCTCTGGATCTCGCTATTCCTCTCTCCCTCTTTTCCTGTGTGTGTTTCAAAAAATAAAAATAAATAAAAATGAAACAAATAAAATGACATGGCCTTTATATATTCACATTCACATTTTGTCCCGTATATTTTGAATCATTGGTAGATGATTTATAATATCTAATATGATGTAAATGCTATGTAAAGGGTTATTATGCTCTATTACATGACTAGAAAGTCATATGTGTATATATGTTATATGACTAGAAAGTATATGCTTGTCTGAAACGCATGCAACCTTTTGGGGTTTAATGGCTGGTTGGATCTATGGTGTAGATTGATTTTGAGGACTGATTATGATAATGTGTTTAGGTTTAAATAAGATCATGCATCTTCAGGGTTTCACACAGCTCTTGATATGTATTGAGAAACCAACAAACAGTAATAGTGATAATAATAATAATAGCTACTATTATTATTTTAAAATCTCAGTAGTAGAAACAGAGTATTTAACCACTTTAGAGATATGTGACCTTGGGTTGGTTCCTGTCTCTTTGTCAGCCTATTCTTTTCATCCTTAAAAATAAGTTTATAGTACTAATCCCGAAATGGCAGGGTTTTATGAGGATTAAATAAAATCATTCTTATGATATGCCTACTGGAAGTTTTGGAATAAACACTTAAGAAAATGAGGATAGGCATGATTGACCAGAATTAGGTCCTCTTAAATTACAGCAGCCCATGAGAGTAGTTCCCCTTTCATTGGTGAGTTATATCTATGTGAATTTTTGTTAATTACTGTTGTTTTGTAACTTCATTCTGTAGCTCTTTAAATTAAGATATTAAATATTTCTGTATTTAAGAGCAAATAACTATGTTTTTATATGTCTATTTAGCCTGTTAAGTATATATAAGCACACACTAATGGGCAGACATTCCTTTCACCAAAACAAAAAATACTTTAAGATTCTTTACTAATTTAGTTTATTTGAAAGTAGAGAGGCAGAGACAGAGCTCTCTCTCTCTCTCTCTCTCTGCCTCTGTCTCTCTGTAATTCTGTCTTTCAAATAAAGAAATCTTAAAAAAAACTTCACATGGTACCCTATAAATATGTAATTTTTTTCAACTTTTATTTAATAAATATAAATTTCCAAAGTACAACTTTTGAATTATAGCGGCTTTCCCCCCATAACCTCCCTCCCACCCACAGCCATCCCATCTCCCACTCCCTCTCCCATCCCATTCTTCATCAAGATTCATTTTCAATTATCTTTATATACAGAAGATCAACTTAGTATATACTAAGTAAAGATTTCAAGACTGCACCCACACAGACACACAAAGTATAGAGTGCTGTTTGAGTAGTAGTTTTACTGTTAATTCACATAGTACAACACATTAAGTAATATGTCAATTAAAATATATAGATCTAAACAAATTTTTAAAAACCAACAAAGAAGTATCACTTTATATATGTTATAATAGAAAAACTTAGAATATTGGATACTGTTACATGTTGGCCCACAAGTGATGACACAGAGACATAAGTCATTCTCACTGATGCCTGGTGGTTCATGGTCAAATTAAGAAACTCCTTTTCCTAAGTTTCACAAATGCTGCTCCTAGGTCTCCACCTTAATGAATATCTCACAGAACAGTGAGGGAGCATGATCCAGGACATTCATTGCAGCATTTTCTGGAAAAGCAAAGAGTCAGGAGAAGCATGGGTAACCCCTACTACTGACGGAGAATAATAAAATGTGGTGAATGCATACCATGAAATTCTAGATTACATTTAGTAACAAGTTGACATTGACATAGCAGCATGGATGACTTTTTTTGGCAATTAAAATAATGTTTTATCGAGCTTAACTAGCACCCCATTACATTAACACATATATTTGTTGAAGTTCCATTATTTTTCTCTTTCCTTAAATTTTTATTAATATAAAGAGAGCAGATTTCATGTATTTCAAGGGTACAGTTTTAGGAAGAACCATATTTCACTCTCCCCTTCTCTCCCAATGACTCTTGTGAGCATATTTTTGGCCACTCACAATAGCCAAGAGAGTAAATAAATCAAGGTGTTCATTGATGTAATTATGGATAAAGAAAATGTGATACAGGTACACAACTGAATCCTATTCACTCATAAAAAATGAAATCCTGTATTTTGTGGCAATTTGGGTGGAAATAGAAGACATTGTGTTAGGTGAAATAAACCTGGCGCAGAAAGACAAATACAGTATGTTCTCTTTTATATGTAGAAGCAATGACCTTTGCTATTATAGAAATAGAGATTAAGAAGGGGAGGATGCTTAAAGGGAAGTCAGGTAATGGGCACAAAAATATAGTTAGATAGGAGCAACATGTATTAGACTCGTATAGCACAAAAGGGTGACTGTAGTTTACAACAATTTATTAAATACTTTATAGAGAACTAGAAGATAGGTTTTCAAATGTTCCCAACATTTGAAATGTAAATTTGAAATGGTAAATGTTTAGGAGATGGAATTTTTTTTTTGACAGATAGAGTTAGTGAGAGAGAGAGAGACAGAGGGAAAGGTCTTCCTTCCGTTGGTTCACCCCTGAAATGGCCGCTACGGCAGGCACTCTGTGCCGATCCGAAGCCAGGAGCCAGGTGCTTCTTCCTGGTCTCCCATGCGGGTGCAGGGGCCCAAGCACTTGGGCCATCCTCCACTGCCTTCCAGGGCCACAGCAGACAGCTGGACTGGAAAAGGAGCAACCGGGACTAGAACCCGGTGCCCATATGGGATGCCGGCGCTGCAGGCAGAGAATTAACCAAGTGAGCCACGGCGCCGGCCCAGAGATGGAAGTTTTCACTACCACTAATTTGGTCATTACACATTGTATACATGTGCCAAATTATCACATTGTGCCTCAAACATTTATAATTCAAAAATAATTTTGAATGCAAGAAAAAATGGTAATGAGTAAAAATGTTAGAAAACATTATCAGAACTTCAGCAATAAACAACACATCACAGTGAACGCATCTACATACAACAGCACACATTTTAAGAATTCATGCAAATAAAAGGATACACTTTCAGAACATATTGTAATATGTCCTGTCATGCAAGGAGTATAGCAGTGGAGCAAGATAATAATGAGAATCAATCAAATAATATATCCATTGCTGTTCAGATCAACAATGACAATCTGTCATAGAGTAATGAGTACAATTTATTCAAATATCTCCAGTTAAGTCCAACAAAAATACTCTTTGACTAACTGAAGCTGTTTTGATAATAGGTTTTAAATTTCCAAGGAAGGAGATCATGCTAATCTTAAAAAAAAAGTCCCTCAAACCCCATCTTGAGACTTGCTGCTAAATGTTCTCTCAAAGCAAATTCACACCAATGTTTGCAAGACTCAGAATCCCACAAGAAAATGGACAGTTTGGGTCATATCAGGAAGAACCACCTCATGCGGAAACCAGCATCCATGGGCTCGAGAGGATGCAGCTAGTTGAGCCAGCCTTGACACCATCCTCTTCTTCATTCCTCTTGTCACTTAGCAGTCATCTCTGAAACTCACTCCTCACTTGTTCATTATATGAATACAGCTCCACCTCTCAGCTTATGTCCCTCATCCCCCTAGACCACTGTGCTTGTCTCCTCTCCTCAGCTTGACCCTTTCTTTGACTGCCAGAGAT